TGTTTAAAAACTATGATGCTGATGGCTGCACTGATTGTTAAAGTGTATATATTTCATGCTGTAGTATATCATACATTTGACACTCCTCCGACTTTCTTTTTTCAATCTTCAGCCGGTTATGTTGAAAAAGAAATGACAAACAGTTTTTTTGTTGCTGGTTCAGTCAATCATACTGCTAGTGGTGAGAAATACCCTGTGGTGAGAAACTATTCTATTTGGTGGCAAATTCCACAGTACACCCTGATGGGTATGAGTGAAGTCTTCATAAGTATTCCAGGTGAGCCTGGGTCATGTTCATGCAATACCACACATTGTTTTGTTGAATTTGAATTGAACTTTCAGTGTTACAGAGAGCCCGGTTGTTTATGATGTCTTGGATAAAATAATTATCCCTGATAGTTGAGAAAAAATTTAATATGGCTGCCAGAGCATATCTAGCTATGGTAGGGAAGGGGCTAAGGGGAAACATGTCAGACTATGGCACAGACAAAAGCGATTTGGGTTATGAATGCTAAACATTGAAATTTAGAAACCTGTGATCAAGGCAGCACTATCAAGTTTTCTTTGATGATCTAACCAGTAGTACTCTTTATTTCTATGAAAAAGTGTTAATTTGTGACTGAAATAGCTGACAAAGCCTAAGAGAGTATCTGCAAATGTTGCAGTTTCTCAGCTTTCATGCACAATGTGCAATGCTGCCAGGTAGCATCTCTTAATGTTAAGCTGGTTGTTGCCTGTTTTCATAAGTCCTCCCAAACCTATCATTTTCAAAAAGCTTGCAGCACCCACAGAATTGCATTAATACTATTTTTTTGTACTTTTTTTTACTTGGAAAATAGAATGGAAGGAAATAAAAAAATAATGCAGTTAAATGATGTGTGTAAAAAGGCAAATACTGGAGGGTATTCATTCTCATTTTAAAATTTTTAAGGAGAGACCCCCCTGTCAGACTAGTGTTTCCTGTTTTGTATGGATTTTTCATCATTTGATTGAACACTCTGTAACTTTGATCTATGTACATTATCCAAGATTCATGGCATAATTTATAACCTCTATGCATAGGTATTTTTATTTGGCTGTATAACCTTATTTTTAGTGATCATGACTTGTTGATATAACTTACTCAGATAAACTATTTGATGTTAATTCTAGGACTTCAGATGGTATTCACCATGTGCTCAGCCACACCACAGAGTGTGACATCTGCAGTGTTCAACATCATGATAAGTATTGGAAGTCTGCTGAGTCTAGGCATTTTAGCACTCACTGCTAATCTTTGGGGGTGGTACCCCAGAGCCAGGGAAGGGGCTCTGAGGTACTACTTGGGTAATGGCAAGGTTGCCTACTATTACTGGCTGTTGGCAGTAGTTATGGTTGCAACAACACTTCTGACCTGTATTGTAGGATGTGGTTATGATATTGGGCCTGACAGAAATGGAATTAAGCATCAGGTGGCAGTTAACGAAGAGACTTCGAGACACGGTCAGCTTCCAAATGCGGGGGTTGATTAAAACAATGACACATTTGTGGAGTTGAGCTCGTGAATATTTTGACAAAATTGTGTTGAATGTTTTACAATTTTTTTCTTAACTTGGAAGTGCAATATTATTATTTTTATATATATATATATATACTTGAACATTGTGACTCTGGCTTTTTAAATTAAATTAGATCTGTGCTACAGAAATAACCACCAAACAATGCTAACCA